AGGTACATTGCAATTATGCTAAAATACTAAAAATTACAATAAAATGCTGGATCTAGTTTGGTATACATACAAATACTTAGACAATACTACAGTGATCTTATCCATATACCTCGATTTGCAAAATTTTTTGTTAATGGTCACAATTTTGATGTGTCTTGAGCCATTGTTTAAGTTGGTTCTTAAAACTGGGGTACGTCGGACATTCTCTAATAACAACCGGTAATTTGTTCCAAATCTCTGACCCCTTAATTGACAACACATATTGTCCAAATGTTGTACGCCTGTAAGGCACCACACAATCACCCCTGATGGAAGCCCTGGTAACACTTCTTCCCTCTCCTTGTTTTTTTAATGTAATGTATTCACTCAGTAGGGGTGGGGCAAGTCCATGCAGGATCTTATATACAGCACAGGCATATTTTAGCTTTAGAAAATTTTCAAAACTTAATAAATTATATTTCTGTAATATTAAACAATGGTGATGTGAAAGCGGTTTTCTATCAAATATTTTTAAGGCTCGTTTGAAGAGTGACTCAATTGGTTTAAGCGTTGTGACATTTGTGAGTGACCAATTTATAAAACAATATTCAATATGAGAAAAAATCATAGAATGAAGAAACATTCTGGCTGCTTTACATGAAAGTGATGGACTGATATATTTGAAATTTGCAAGATTCAATTTTACAGTTTTTGAAAGACAATTGACATGATTTTTAAAGGACAGTGTAGGATCTAATACAACACCAAGATATTTAAATTCATTTACTATCTGTATTTCTTCTTGTTTTAAAAATATATTTGAATGTGTCATTTCAATCTGTCGCTTAGAAAACATTACACAAACAGTTTTTTTAAGATTCAATAGTAGACATGATTTTGTAAGCCACTCCTGTACACGAGTCAGCGCAGATGTAAGCGACTGAGAGGCTTCTTGAACAGTTTTGGCATGTGTAAAAATTACTGCATCGTCTGCATACATTAAAATATTGATGTTTTGGCACACTGTAGGCAGGTCATTAATGTATAAGGAAAATAAAATTGGTGCAAGTACAGAGCCTTGAGGAACTCCTACTGAACATTCAAGGTAAGGGGATTTAATATTGTTAACAGAGACACAGTGTCTGTTAACAGCAATTACAGCAATTTGATTGCGAAAAAAGGTCAACCGTGCGGTTACAATGCATGTTAAAGGGGTAATAGTCTTGTTTAAACTTGTTCGTTCGTCTGGGCTCAAAGTCACTTGGTGAGAACTTTGCAGAAGCTTTGCGTTAATTCCAAGTGAGATAATCAAATATTTCTACTCAAAAAAATATTTTGTGTCCAATTATTTCCCCAACATAGTTTTGGTATTGAGGTAAAAGTTAATTTACCTTGCATTGGGGTGAGCGGGGCACAACCTAACGTGGGGCTAGTTGTAACACTTGAGATAGTTTAAAGGTATAGTTCACCCAAAATTGCCATATTAAAAAATGTCCTGGCTCTTTCAAGCTTGATAATGTGAGTGAATAGCTGTTTGACTTTGGAAGTACACTAAAGCGCAGCTATTCATGATTAAAGTGCTCGACGTGGACCTGCGGGGGTTAATAAAGGTCTTCTGAAGTGAAGCGATGCGTTCGTGTAAGAAAAATATCCAAATTTAAAACTTTATCGATTAAAATAACTAGCTTCCAGCAGACGGCCGTAGCTACGCGTCAATTTACGCCAAAAGAGTAACACTTGAACTTGACGCACAACGTAATGACGAATGCAGTTGCCCAGCCCTGTTTGTTTGAACCACGAGAGGCCGTCATTACATTGTGCGTCAAGTTCAATTGTTACTCTGCAGTGTAAAAGAGGCCTTAGACTATTTAAGACTATTACTCGCCAAGATTTTTACATAATTTTGTATTTTTTTGACCGATCAAGCACTACAATCCGTGAAAAAGAATTGTTTTGTTACTCGCGAGCTGTTTGTGATTCGGTTTATGTATTCGTTAAGTATAATGCTTTAAGAGCTCGCTCAAGTACTGGGGAGCTAAACCATTTAGTGCTTTGTAAATAATCAGCAATATTAAAAAATGTATACAATGTTAAATAGGGAGCCAATGCAGTGTTGACAGAACCGGGCTAATATGGTCATACTTCCTGGTTCTAGTAAGAACTCTAGCGGCTGCATTTTGGACCAGCTGTAGTTTATTTATTAAACGTGCAGGGCAACCACCCAGTAGAGCATTACAATAATCTAGCCTTGATGTCATGAACTAATTGTTCTGCATTTTTAATTGAGAGCATATTAGATAATTTAGATATATTTTTAAGATGAAAAAATGCGGTTTTACAGATACTAGACAAGTGACTTTCAAATGAAAGATTGGGCATGGTGCTGTCCTGGGGCTGCTTTGCATCCTCTGGCACTGGGGGATATTTAGAAAACTATAAAATAATTCACAGTCAAATTTCTTGAAAATATTTAGTGAATAGATGTCAGTTTAAATGCTTAAAATTTTTCTAATATTATATTATATCAGTTTGGTTTTAATATATTAATTATATTATATTATTAATAGCCTAATAGAGAATTGATCTCACAAATGGATTGTTTAGGGCTCCTTGCCATTTAAAAATTTGAAAACCCCTGATATAGAAAATCCTGCCAATTCATTGGCAATAAATAAACATTTAATTTTGATTGTTTAACCCTCTGGGGTCTGAGATATTTTCTGGGCCCTGGAGGTGTTCTGACATGCTCTGACATTTGTGCTTATATCTGTTACTTGTAACATTTTCATGGCTAAAGTCTGATTACACTGTATTCAGCACAAACTCTGCTACAATAATATGTATGTATGTAAACATATTGTTTTGATAAAATGTGTGGTTTGTGAAAAAAAAAAAAAAAAGTCACTGAAATAAGGCCATAAAACCCATACTGACTATTTGTTCACAAGACTTTTGAAAATTGTATCACTTAGTCTAGAGTTTTTGCATCAAAACGATGTGAAAATCATCCTGCCCACTCATTCACATAAAACAATATATTGATTAGAAAATTTGTAAGACATGTGAGAATGGCTTTTTGATTGTTTGGATTTATTTACAACACAACATAGTCCTAAGATACAAAAGACAAAAAGGCACATTATTGAGCACACTGATCTAAACAGTCACACACCTTTTTGCCCATTTCCAAGGTGTTTGCTTCATTTTACCATGTTCATGTACAGAGACTCATGTGAATGTTTAAGTCAGCAGGGCTCATCAGTGTCATCTGGTCCCTGTATTATATAAAAAAAGAAAAGACAACTGTGAACATGCTGATATCAGGAGAAACTATAGGGCTGCACGATTTGGGGAAGAAAATCGAATTGTGATTTTCTGGTTAAAATTGCGATTTAAAATTCACAAAAAATATAAATAAATATATATATATACAGAAATATAAATATATAAAAAATATATATATTTTATTTTATATTTAATACTTAATATTTTTACCTTATTTTATATTTATATATATAAAAAAAATGAGCACCAGGTTTGTTGTGCCTTGTAGGCATATACTTGTAGGGCTGCATAAAATAATAATAATTTTTACTTGCAGGCGGCCTATAACGACATGTAGCCTAATGTTTGGCGCGTTTTGCTTTCAAATGCACAGCGCAAGTGACCCAAAATTACAATGCTTTACATTATTCTTACCACATTATAAACATCTACGTTTGAACAGATATCCACGAACACAGCATTTAACCGTGTAAACACTCATACTAGCCTACTTTTATATCATGCTGTGTTTTATATTATCAAGCTTAAAACATCCTTGTGTCATATATGTATATTTATTTAACATTGAAAGGTTGCCTACCTGTCTATAGTTCATATTTCAACATGTTTCCGTCGATTTCATACATTTTAGTCTGACACCAGTTCAACTAGTATAATGTGAAGTTTATGCAACAATAACACACTAACTATTATAAGTGTTAATGCATTTCTTACCTTAAAAATCTTATCTTCAAATCGCATACTACTTCTTCTGAGGTAAATCCAGTGTAAACACACAGTGTGTCTTCCAAACTCGATTAAAAGCAGAGGTTTGATGAAGTCTGATGCTTTGTTTTGAGGTAATGAGGGCGTTTACAGGTTCACGTTCTTTCACGTGGACTATTTGCATGTGAATTGCTCGTGCGCGCGTGGGTGTGGTCACATCATAGGTAATGAGCAGGCGCTTGAGAAACTGTACATCTCGTTACTTTCATACAGATTACTTAAACAGAGAATATTTGTTTTTTATATGATTTACATCTAAAAATAGACACTTCAAGCTTTCTAAAAACATATCTCTCACGTATGGGTGGCAAGTATTCGCTGAGATACAGTACATTTTCTGTCGCGTTTCAGAATGAACTTCACACTGAGAGAGACGGCAGAACGCGCATCATGTTTATTTTCTTTATTTTACGAAAAGCAGAACATTGTTTTTATTATGAGTTCATGTTATTTATTATGTACACAAATAAAAGTAGACATTTAACAGTTTTGAATGATGTATAAAACTTGACAAAAATAGACAGAGTTATTTGAGTGTCTTTTGCACTGATAAGAAAAAAGCGAGGTGATCACGCCGGTGCGACCGCCGACCCCAGGGGGTTAATGCTGTCCTCAGCCAATAACTGACCATACAAAATCACATTATGTTTGTCTCAAACCATCTCAGTGTAACTGCTTAATTTTTTTCCTATTATATTATATTATATTATATTATATTACATTACATAATAAAGAATTGAACTGTTCTTGGTAGAGACTGGTACACATCACATTAAAAATGTTTTCTCAGGTAACCTAAAATGTTCTTCATTTAGTAACTTCTGAATTAACTGCATTGTTAATGTCCACCCAATAGAGAAAAGCTAGAAAAAAAGAGGGAACATTGTCGTGACCATTTTAGTCACAGTCTGGAGCCCTGCTAAAAGAAATACAACATCAGAATGAAAGTGAAGCATTTTGCCTGTACTCACACTCTCCATGAAACTGGGCTTGAATCCATCTGGTTGGCGTCTCATGTCAAGGTGCTCTCTATGACGCATCATATCTTCCTCACGTCTACGTCTCTCTTCTTCATGCCTAAGCATATATAACTCAAATTCAGTTAAACTGCACATGCTCAGATCGACCATCTGGTACACCAAAACGTGAATATTTCAACGAGTAAAGCACAAAGCTTTGCTTAAAAAATAAATAATATGTTAGCAATGAAATGTTACATCAGAAACATGGAAACATTTAAATTCATGCCAAATGAGAAAGGTACACAAGCCCATATATTTAAGCCATCTGTTAGCCTTGTAATCTGTTTTCTGATCTCACTCGATTTTCCACAAATTTAACAATATTACATGAGTTATTCCACTGGACATGGAATCTCATTTCTTTTCTCAAATCTTCACTCATGTTTCACCCATTTTTGCAGGTGAATATAAACATTTCTTCCTTTCGTTTAATCTTAATTACTATATTTGCATCCGTTACTGTGGTAAAGTAGAAAAACACTGTAGTAAAAAACCTTTTTACTTGCACGTCAAATTCTATTTAACACATTTTGTTAGAATTGGTAAGGCACGTCAAGTTTATTGGTAAAGCGCATTTCATACACACTGGTAATTTAGTTTTGCTTTCTCTGGCAGCGCAACATCAAACATAGCCTTAATGTCTTTTGCGCCTGCAAAGATAAAATTTGCTCTTCAGACCTTTTACAAGAAGTAGCTTTGGAACATCGGGAGAAGACATTAGACGAGATAGTCTCTGTCCTGCTCATCTCCCACATCTAGGGGTGGAACGGTACACAGAAGTCACGGTTCGGTTCATACCTCGGTTCAGACGTCACGGTTCGGTACGATTTCGGTACAATGGAGTGAAAAGCAAAACAAAAATGCAGAAGACATTTTTATAAATGTGTTAAGCCTTGTATTGTTTTTATAAGTTTTATTAATAAAGGCATAGAACCAGTTTATTTGTAGTGCACTGACAGTAGTTTTATATAATTAGTTTATTAATTAAATTATTAAAAAGACGAAAAGACCTTGAGATATGTTTGGTAATTGTACCTGAATGAATTTAAAATTAATTTGCTATTTCAGATCAATATATTTGTTTTCCTTCATTTTAATTAACCCTAACTTTATTCTCATCTGAATTATAAATAATTGATTTCCGTATAAAATAATACTACCATTAAAAACTTTTGTTAACAGTTGTTACAGTTTGACAAGAGTTAAGCGTGTGACAAAAGCACAATGTTGTGTTTTATTGCGAGTGTACACAAATATAAGTAAACAATTTGCAGTTTTAATGATGTCCTGTATGAAAAAAATGACGGAGTATGTTTTTATGTTTCCACTGTTCATCGCCCGTGCCTCTCACACACACACACACACACTGTTCGATCGCGCGATTCGCGCCCGCCTCTCTCTCTCTCTCTCGCACGCGCGCGCGCGCTCGCGCACACACACACACTGTTCGATTGTGCGATTCGCGCCCGCGCCTCTCTCTCTCTCTCGCACACACACACACACACACACACACACAAGCATTGCAATCTTGATCGCAGCCTGTTCATTGCTGCGTTCACAGTCACACCAAAAGCGAATAGAGCGAAATTGATCGCTATTTAAGAGTTTTTTTTTTAAATTTGTACCGTGTATTCTCCGTGCAAATTCGTGCACCGAACCGTGACGCCCGTACCGTTTCGGTTCAATACGAATACATGTACCGTTCCACCCCTACCCACATCCCTATCAAAGCGCAGAGCGGTATATATGACAACACATTTATCTTTGTGGGGAAATCTAATGAATGTTTTTTTTTTTATTTAATATTTAACTTTCTTATATTATTTAGATTAACATTATTTACTGACATTTATTTCAGTGTTTTACAGCCTATAGTGCGTTTCACTGACGAAAGAGCTAAACTAAACACACACGTTTGTTACGAAATGGATGTTTGAGCCTTATTTATTATTTTTTTATATTACAAAATGTATTATACAACAGTAGTTTGTCTATTACCACCTGGTGGTAAAAAAAAAAAAAACACTGTCACAAAACCTACTCTATGACGCTTTGCACAAATTATGGGAGTAACTTCCTTTAAACTGTAAACAATCAGTTACAGGCAATAACTTGTTAAAAGTTTTGATCTGTGAATCCAACAATAACCATTTGCAAAAACTGGGCTATCTATCATTTTGACAGATAACAAATTGTATTTTCCTGCTTTGGAAACATTCCAGTTAGGGATACTATTGATTAATCGATGATCGATTAATTGTTGTTAATAATTTACCCCTTAAGCCCTGAAGGCATTTTTAGAGTTGTTTTTTGTTGATAATAATGTCACTCAAATAAAATGGACCGAAAATTGCCTGCTGAATTTTATAGGTTGTATTTTTAAACAGTTTGAATATTTTGGAAGTGAAATATGAAAGGTGAATATGGATTATTTAATTTTTTTAATAATGAAAATGTGTTTTAATTGTTTTGAATTGAAATATTCACAGCTTAAATGTTCAACCATGCTGAATTTCAGCCCATAAAAATGCAAGCCCTAAAAATACAATGCATTAAAATGCAAGCATTGGCAAGCATATTTTTTTCCAAGTAGTGCAATTCAAGAGGCTTTTTTTGTTTCAAAAACATTGGGCATTATTTTACTTCCATAGTCTACTGCAGGCAGTACACTTCGGGTTTAAGGGGTTAATCAAAACCAGATGGTCGATTACTCAAGTGCATGCCAGTGTTGTGCCCAATTTCAAGTCCCTGCCAAATTATTGTGGAATCGGAGGGTTTCCTTTCTATGCCCTATCTGAATCAATAGACAAATCCGGTTATATATGAGTTTTTGGAAAGCTTTTAAGATAAGGTAAGATAAGATTTTTATCACAGTCCTGACATTAGGTGAGTGACACTCTGGGGTGATGTACTATTAATCAGAAGTGAAAAGTGGTCTTTTGTTCTCTTTATAATGTTAAGTAATATGACAGTCCCAATCAGTCATTATTATAGTTATTCATTGCTGTTTGAGCTGCATGCGCTTAACCTGATCACCGGCACGCTTTACTACAGCGTTAATTCTTAACCAAATTCACCCTATATGAGATAAATCAGATATAGATAGGCCTACACAAAATAAACACAATATTACAACTTACATTTGCACAAAACAAAAGGCTGCGAATGCACACACAAACTTTTAGTCATGATGAAGGTGTAACTTTTGTTGTAAAATGGTCGTCACCTTCATTTATCAAGCGCTTTTAACAGTATGTAGTGTTTTACAGTTATAAGCAGCTTTACAGTTATAATAGAAATTATCGTAACAGATTGTTTAGGCTTTACAACAGCATTAGGATAAAGTTATTGTCCAGCTAAAGTTAGTTTTGATTGATTCACTTCCGTTGCGAAGATCATTAGTTATTAACTTAGGGGCCGCTAACACGACACCGTTCTAACAGAAAAACTCTTAACGCGCTCCGGCCGCCCATCCGCACAAAACAGTGCCTGGTGTCTCGAGAACGCACTCCCTGAAATAGGTTCGAAGGTGCAAACGATTATCCGTTATCTCTGCGCGAACCTCAAAAATGCAAACCCGCGAAAACGCAGACGGCATGCACATAAATATTGCGCATGAGGTCCCAAATATAACTCCAGCACACTAGCTTAATTTTTCCTTGTCTCTGTTTTACATGTTTCACAGTTGAGCAGCATGCATGCGCATGAACCTGCATAAGTTTTATCGATTAAATGTATTAACGACAATTAATCGATCGTTGATTCATCGTTAACATCTCTAGTACAGTTGGCTTATTTATAGACTTAGATGTTTCCCTCTCACCACAAATGTTTTATATAATTACAGCTGTTTATCGAACACCTTCGACAAATATTGAGTTTTTGATAAATTACATAAGCTTCTTAAAGTATGTGATTTTACTAAAGAAGACAAATCAGACACAATTATTTGTTATATTTAACAAATAATCTTTACAACTCACTCTGGGATCTATGGTCCCATCCCCCCAACTAGGGCAAGAACCATGACTACCATCAGATAAGATTATTGCTGTTAAAAATGTGGTCATGTGTTCAGACGAGGCCATAGGAAATACCTACAGCCCTTAAAACAGACTTTCCTGCATTCATTTATAGACGAACTGATCTATAAATGAACATGCATCCCAGGACATTGTGTGAGATAATATTATGTCTTGTATACTGTCTCTTGCATTTGTATTTATTTCATGCATGCTTTATGAGAGAACTACTAGTTAAATGTAACCCCACCTATATCATGTCTCCTATCTAATTAATCCTCATTTAATGACTCACACTATAGTGTACATCACCTTTTCATAGAATGCAGTGTGTGTTTTTGTTATATCTATCTGAGTATAAATGAACACAAACGGCAAGGCCCATGTCTAACCACAATTGAGACAAAGGGGCCCTATCTTGCACTCGGCGCAAATGACTTAGTACACTGACGCATGTATCATTCCTATTTTGCACCCGCGCAAAGCGGGCTTTTTCCTCCACAGACACAAGTCGGTTAACTAAGAAATACACTTGCGCTCCCCGGGGCGGTTCAGCGCAAAGAGGAGGCGTGTTCCGGCGCAAACTTTCCCTCATGCTATTTTGCTGTTCTATAAGACAATTGCGCCACTGACTAGAAAAAACCTAGTCTAAAGTCAGTGGCACGTTGCGCGTTGTTCATAATGCTATTTTAAGCGCGCATGCTTGGCCATAATCAATGTAGCGTGTGCACAACGCGCATACACTTTGATTCTCTCATCTAAGCAGCAGTTTTCAATTTTGCAAATCATACATTATTACGATAGATAGATAGATAGATAGATAGATAGATAGATAGATAGATAGATAGATAGATAGATAGATAGATAGATAGATAGATAGATAGACAATTTATTATAAAAGCATACATGTAGCTTACACATTTACCCAAATTATCATACGCCTGTTTAACAGAAGTTAATTTGGGTGGGTTTCTCCATCCCCAATGTCACTTCTCTGTGTTTTACGGCCCTGACGAGAACGTTGCTCTCCTCG